CTGTAATCTCCAGCTCAGTAACAAAAGGACAAACAACTCAATCTTTAAATGGGAAAAAAAAAAAACTAAGACATTTCTTCAAGAATATACACAAATGGCCAACACTTCACATGGAAAGATACTCAGTCACATAAGTCACTAAGGAAGTATAGGCCAAAACCACAATGAGATGATGTGTCATACTTACTACATTGGTCATCATTTTAAAAAATTCAGAAAGCATTGGCACACGTGTTTACAACCCTAGGGAGGCAGAGGCAGACAGGTCTCTATGAGCTTCAGGTCAGCCAGGGCTACATGGTAAAACCTTGTCTCAGAAAACAAAACAAAACCCCCCAGAAGCTAACAAGTATTGATGCAGATACAGAAAAATCAGAACTCCCCCACATTACTAGTGGAAACGTAATGTGGAAATTAATTTGCTAGTTCCTCAAAAAGTTAGCAACACAAAGACAGGCATGGTGGTACATGCCTTTAATACCAGCAGTTGGGAGGCAGGAGCAGGTGGATCTCTGTGAGTTTGAGGCCAGCCTGGTCTACAAAGCAAGTGCCAGGACAGCCAGAGCTATACAGAGAAACCTTGTCTCAAAAACCAAAATAAATAAATAGCCCCCCCAAAAGAGGAAGAAGTAGTAACAACATTGAAATAGGAAATTTTAATAAAAGTCTAAAAACTTAGACCACAAATCCCATACTGGAAAGAGAAAATTTCTAAACTCCCTAAGACAGCACAAAGGAGAGGCTAAGCAAAGAACTGAAGATGTGACCAGAGGCTCAAAGTCCAGTTAATACACACCCAACTGTGTCAACATTCCTTTGTCCTAAAGGAAACCAGATAGCCATCAACTCGTGGTTGTCGAAATTCCTGGTCCAGGAGATAATGAACAAACTTATATCCCCTGTCATATTCTGCTCAACTGTATCTCACTTAAACATATGGTTATTCCTTTACCACGAAAACTTGTAATCTTGAGACTTTCAACCTCATGGTCTTCCCCTTTAAAAATCCCCCTTAGCTGTAAGCGGTATTCCACTTGCTCCTGAGCAGGTAGAATCCTCATTGCAGCAAATAAAGAAACCTTTGGGGCAGTGGCAGTGTACGCCTTTAGTCCCAGCAGCACTCGGGAGGCAGAGGCAGGCAGATCTCTGTGAGTTCAAGACCAGCCTGGTCTACAAGAGATAATTCCAGGCCAGACT